TCACTTGGCGAGACCTCATCTCTACAATAAATCAAAAATTAGCTGGGTGGTAGCGCGCGCCTTTAGTTTCAGCTACTTGGAAGGCTGAGGCGGAAAGATCACCGGAGCCCAGCAGGTTGAGGTTGCGGTGGCTGGGAGCGGCCACTGCACTCCAGTCTGGGTAACAGAGTGAGGCTCCAACTCAAATAAATAAGTAAATAACAGGTCTGGTGTAGTGGGGTTAACTTTTCAGGTTCCTTCTAACACTGTCAATGGATTTGTTAATGTGATAGTGACACTGAAGGGTCAGGTCTCTTGCCTAACCTAGTTATTACTTTTACTTAATATCCAGTCTCCCAATATGTGCATTCCTTCATCTGATAAACATTTTATCAAAAATGCCTCAGCATCCACTATTTTGTAGCTTTAACAACAAAAATCACATAATTCAGTTAATTTCTTATAATGTTGCATTAATATAAGCTGTCAGGTTTTTCATTATCACTGATAGTAAAATTATGATACAACTTACTTCTAATATAAGGATCATCAGAACAAAAAATATACTAGGCCCTTCATATTCTAAAATTTTCTTTTAGTATTTGCTTTTCACATAACATTAAAAATTGTTTTGGGGGGAGGGGAAGGGAGACGGGATTAACGGTAGCAAATATCTGTCTGGGGATGGGGAGACACCTCTTATCAACAAGGGTGCCTGAATGAAGCATATTTGTATAACTAACCCTTAACTGTACCCCACAATATCATAATAAAAAATATTGATTAAAATAAAAATAAAAAAAATAAATTGTTTGAATGCTCACCTTACTTAGCTCCTCCTCAAGGGCAGCAATTTTTTCAATCAATTCTAGTATCTGCTCTTCTTGAAGAGTTAATTTTCCATTTATGGCTCTAAAATACAATTTGATATTAATTTAGCATTTAATATTTTTTCTAACTCCTGTAAAATTTATTCTAACACAATTGCAGCAGTTACACAAACTCATTTCCACCATTTGTTACCACCAGGATAATGATACCTAGTGTCAATAAGCAATAAATACAAACAGCAAAGAACAAATAGGCCCCTGTCTTTGTTTTATATTTTTCCTTGACACACCATTCTGAAACTGAGAGTCTCAACCAATGAGGGAAAAAGCATGTGTGAATCAGACTTGAGAAACTAGAAAGCCAGCAGAGGACTATAGCTCAAAATAGAGCCAGGCTCAGTGGCTCAGTCTGTAATCCCGCACCTTGGGAGGCTGAGGTGAGTGGATTGCCTGAGCCCGTGGGTTTGAGACCTGCCTGGGCAACTTGGCTAGACCTCATCTCTACAATAAATCAAAAAATCAGCCGGGCATGGTAGTGCACGCCTGTAGTTCCAGCTACTTGGAAGGCTGAGGCGGAAGGATCGCCGGAGCCCAGCAGGTCGAGGCTGCGGTGGCCGGGAGCAGCCACTGCACTCCAGTCGGGGTGACAGAGTGAGACTCCAACTCAAAAAAAACAAAAACAAAAAGCAAAGTAGAGATGGGAGAGAATACAACCTAAGAGTCCATAATCAGAGATATGAAATATAAACATGCCTCACAGAATGCTGGAAAGATTTGGGATACCGACATCAAGTATCTTAGAAGGAAAGGGTAATAATGAGGGCTAAAAACTGGAGGATTAAAGTATGTATTCAGAGCAATTATACTCCCTGGCCCTGCATACACACGTGCACACATGTGCGCACACACACACACCCAAATACCACTCTCACATCACCACATAAACCCTCCTGAGATCAAAGGATTATTCTCTAGCGCGGAGTTTCTCAGACTCAGCACTACTGACTTTTGGATCAGATAATTCCTTGTTGTGGAGATGTCCTATGCATTTTAGGATAGTCAGTAGTATCCAAGTTATAACAATCAAAAAATGTCTCAGAACACTGCCAAATGTCCTCTGAGGTGGCAGCACCAGCCACCACCCTCCCCACCACCCTCT